TGACCTGAGCCGAAGGCAGTCGCTTAACCAACTGAGCCACCCAGGCGCCCCAAGACTACAAGTTTATTAAGATAAGTCTCTCCTTGCCTAAACCATGAAAGCTCCAACCTGCCAAAGAAGTCTGAAATGATTTCTTTAAAGATATGTTCTTTTAAATCATAAAAATTATCTACAAGAGTCCACTTTATATATGTATGTATGTATGTATGTATGTATGTATGTATGTATGTAGCTATCTATCTATGGGGGGGAGGGCAGAGAGAGAGAGAATCTTAAGTAGACTCCAGGCCCAGCATGGAGCCCAACGCAAGGCTCGATCTCATGACACTGAGATCATGACCTAAGCTGAAATGGAGTTGGACGCTTAACCAACTGAGCCACCCTGGCGCCCCGAGTCCACTTTTAAAATGCAAATATTCTGGCAAGAGAGTAAATTCTTTCAGCTAATATCTTAGAGCTATATTTGGCAAAAATGTTGCAGTCTCACTGTTGGTATACAGAATGATCTTATATATACATAGGTACACTTTTAGTTCTAATTTTAATAGTTCAATATTTATTTAATTCACCTTAGGAACATATAAAACTATCACACCAAACCCCCAATTTTGTGAAAAGTATTGTTTAGGACAAGGGAATAATAATAGGTAATTAATGATACTTGTGGCACATAAATATGACAGAAATCGTGAAAGTGAAAAGCAGATGGGAAACACTGTCTTTAAAGAATTAAGAGAGCTCGCAGACGACCCTGCAAGAATGCAGGCCATACCACATAATGGGTGCTTGGGGCTCGGGAGGAGTTGCCATGATAGGGCAGAACGGCTCTGAAAGGGAGGTGGGAGGTCTGCCAAGAATAAACTTAAAGCTTTTCCTGGACTTGACCCAGGTTCTCATGAAGCGCCAATCTCCTCAGAAGTGGGGTGAATGGTGGCATTTGTCATTTGTGATGGGATAATATTTAAGAGACTCTGAGAAGGCTTCTCTATGCAAATTCACTATATTTCCCTCAAATTTTACTTTGTCATATTATCCAAACCTCCATCCATTTGAGCTTACTTATGTTAATAAACTCTTTTTACACTGCAAATACTCTTGGGAGAGCTGTCAGTCATTCACAATTTAGTAAGATCTATATTCAGACTGCCTTCCTCCAAGCACTCAGGCTGAAATCAGCCACGGTGTGGTAGAATTTTAATGAGCAGAGGCAAGTACAGGGAGTGAGTGCTGAGAAGGATCAAATGATGGTGTGCAGAGTGGGAAGGCAAGCAAAGTGCTAAGATTGAGGAACAAGAATTGTAGAAGGGTGCCAACTAGATTTACTTCACCACTTTATAGGGTTGGCCCTGAGGCTAGTATTGGAAATAAAACTCTGCTTGCAACAGAACATTGAAAGGTGTCCTTGTTGAACCCTCACGGAAAGTGACAGTGTACCATTTCCTTCAAACTCACAGCAGACAAAGTAGAAAACTTACCGAGTTTGAGCACAAAGTTGATAAATCTCTGAATACAAAACTGGAAAGGAAAAAACAAATCTACAGTCAGTATTACATAAGCTGTGATAACAATTTAGAAATTTTGGAGGTCAAAGGACAGAAACCCCAAACAAAAAAGCCCAACACCTTAGTTTTCTGAAGGCCTGTCAGAGTGGAGAAAAACAGCTAAGTGAGGATGGTTGAGATCCATTCAGGATAAGGTAGGATCTTTTTATACATGTAAGCTTTATAAAAGGGGGCCATGAGAAAAGAGGTGCCAAATATAGAATTGTACAGTAAAGAAAGGGGTAGGCACCCTTCATCCATCTAGCCAACCCTTACCCAACTAAACTTATCAGCTAGAGAGGTTGTTTTCAAACTGGGGTATGCTAACTTCTGAGGTACTCTCTAAGGGGCACTTAGCAAGGCTAAGATTTATGGGAATAAATAATTTCTAGATCCTTAACTTCCATAAGTGCTATTTTTCTAAAACTGATGAGACTAAGAATTTGCATGGAGGTGCAGATTGTTCTTTTAGATTTCCTCTTCATAAGTGCTTCTTTTTCCACTTTTGAAAAAAATAAAGACATATCTCCTGTATCACTGCCTTGGGACACCTCTGGGAACCAAATACAGGAGCAGATCAAAATATTGGTATTGGCATCGACAGAGTGACAAAGCGATTCCTCTAATTAATGGGTAACATGTCCTCTAAAAAATCATAGGGCTTTCAACTTTTTGCTTTCAACATCGCTTTCAATGTTGCTACTCAGGCTGTCAGCTGAAAGTCACTAAAGCATTCTGTGATTTTTAACACAACTCAAAAAACTGTTCAAAGAATTGAGTGACATTGCTATAACAAAATTTCTTCTATTCTTACTACTAATTTATATGAACAGGGTTTCATAGCATTTATTTCTCTAAAAACAAAAAACAGAAATAGTATCACTGCTGAAATGTAACTCATCCTAGCATTAAGTAATATTCATCCATGAATTCGTGAACTAATTCATAAAGGCAGACTCCCATCCATTTCATTAAGAGATGCATTTTCGATGACATTTTATGTTGTTTTAACCAATTACATACAGTCTAGTAAAAAAAATTCAGTACAGAATGAAATTTTAACACCCAGAGCCTTAAAAACATATATGTATACGTTCTTTTTTCCCCTCTCACACAAACTAGTATATTACATTCACAACTCTGTCCTCCACTGCTTTTGCACACTTAATAGATCATGGAGTCTTTCCAGATCTGTACACAGAAAATGATCTCATCCTTTTAAGGGCTGCATATAACTCCATTGCATAACTCAAACATAATGTTTTTAACCATTTCCTTATGGATGGATAGTTGGGTTGTTTCTGTCTTTTGCTCTTATAAACAATGTAGTCTGGAACATCTCTGTATGCATGTCATTTCACTTATGTAAATATAACAGACGGCGTTGGAGTCCATGAGAATGAATAAATTCTGCCCTGATTTTTTGCTGGTCTGCTTCTTCACCTGACTGCAAATTCCTTTACAGCAGAGACCAGCTTGACTGAAGTTACGCACTTGGCTCAGCCCTTTGCATATGAATAAAGGAGTCAATGAGACCCACTCACACTAGCCTTCTGTAAGAAAAGCCAGAGAATGTGGTAAACTACATTCCTCACCAATACCATTTTGAGAGGGATGACTTATTTGTGTGGGACTAATGGGAGGAAAAGAGATGGAAATGGGACCAGTCAATAAAAGAAGCTGCTGAATTGAAGGGCTCCTCTCAGGGCCGTTTTACTATCTATTCGGTCCTATGGTTTTCCTGTCATACAACTCAGAACAGGCTGGAATTTTCAGAACCTGCTCCAATCTCGCTTATGCCTTTCACTCCCACTTATTTCCCTGGGATACTCCACTTAGCTACTTTTACTATCTTGAAAATCCCTGGGCCTCTTGGCCTCCGAAAAGTCCTTCTCTTGTGCCTATGCTGTTTCTTTCCACCTCATTCCACTTACCTCAAGCACACATATTACCCAGCTGCGAGATTGGTTCTGCCCTTCATGAGGCTCTCCATTCTCTGGACAGCTAGCCTGCCCTCGGTGTAACATTAACGGCAGCCGCCATTTCCCCTGGGGTCTTCCCTGTAACACATCAGCTCCTGCGGCTTTTCTCTTCCTCTCTCCAAGCCAGTGTCTCCTTTTAGATCACTCACTCGGCTCTTGTTTCTGCCTGGTAGATGCTTCCAATTCTCAGCACATGGCAGGTGAAGATGACTGACCTGCTCTGACTTTGGATTAAAGCTCCCCATTTTGGGTTACCAGCTTCACAGCTTCTTCATATACTCTGGAGACTTGGGTGTGAAGTCCTCAAGGGGATGGCATGGGTCATTTCCCCAGAAATCTATCACTATTATTTTATAGTCACAAACATACTTTGAACACAGAGTAAAAATATGATCATTTCTAGGAGGAACAGAGAGAGAAGTCATTCCCGTATGGGGCCTGTCCTGATTAGACATGTAGGGAACATAGACAATGGGGACAGGTTTGGCTCTAAACAAGAACAGCTAAGAAGCAGGAGGAAAGTAAAGAAAGAAGCAGCAAGGCAATTTTAACGAGGGCAGGTGTGCTAGGAGTGCTGATGAGAGAGAATAAGAATTATCCAGTGGGAAAGAAAAGTTAACCTGATGGTTCAGGGCTGAAGAGAAGTCCTTTCGTTCGAAAGCCTCCAACATCTGGTTTGTCTTTTTTCCCATGTAGTTATAGGTACTGGAAAGAAAACAGCACACACTGCAGTATCAGTAACTCAGCGGGAGAAGTCTAGATCTTCAAATCCCTTTGATGCCTAAAAGGGAAAAATAGACCAGGCCTCCCAGAAGTCTATTTTTTGGCCCTAATCTATTAGAGATCAGGTGTCTTCACTTCTGAGTTATCAGCGACAATAAGCAGTGCCAAGAGGAGGCACAGAATACCAAAGGGGATAAAGAAAAGGAAGAAAAGTCGGAAAAGGATAAAGTTAGAAAAAAGGGGAAAAAGTTAGAGATGGAGGTGTATTTGGTAGGGAATAACAGAGGCCAACACCTGCCCCAGAGCACGTGCGCAGGCACGAAGCTAGATTCGAACTGTGGGTAAAACGTAGTATCTGAGGTGAGGCCTAAAGCCTTATGCCGAGGAACTAGGTGAATGGGGCAAATCCCAGCAGATTATCTGAGTTCTCTGCCAGTTTATATATTACCTGTAATATATATGCTTATACAATTTATATATTACCTAGAGACTACTTTCTAATAATAATAATAATAATAATAATAAAGATGATAATAAAATGAGAGATCATTTATTGTCTCTTGTGTTCCAGGTGCTTGACATAAATCATGTCTAATCCCCTCAAATCCCTGGCTTCTGTTTGGTTGTGAAGAAACTATGACTTAAAGAAGGCCACACAATTGCGGCAAAGGCTTTCATTCCTTCATGCTGCTATCTACTACAATTCAGCACAAATGAAAGTGAAAATAAGTTATTTGATCTGATAAAATGTGGACTTAAAAAAATAATATCCAGGGACACCTGGGTGGCTCAGTCGCTAGGCGCCTGCCTCCAGCTCAGGTCATGGTCCCAGGGTCCCGGGATCGAGCCCCGCATCGGGCTCCCTGCTCCGTGGGAGGCCTGCTTCTCCCTCTCCCACCCCCCTGCTTGTGTTCCCTCTCTCGCTATCTCTCTGCCAAATAAATAAATAAAATCTTGAAAAAAAATATAATATCCAACTCTACCAGTAAAGACAAATACCTCAGACTAATCACTGAATTCTTAGAGAAATCAGCAAGGTAGAAGTTTACAGAAATTCTTAACAAGGATGTTTCCGCAGTTTCTAGCAACTTCTCATATAGTAAGTCAGTCTCAGAAAAATATATTTATCTTGATGTACCAAGAACAGAATGTTGTTGGTCCTTCACATGGAAACCCTGGACTGAACAGCAAGGGATTCCAAAAACGTGAAGTTCACATTATCTTCTGGTAAAAAAGTAAGGAAAAAATATAATACAATAGCTGAGATAAGTCCCTTATAGATGTGAAACACCCCTAAATCACAATATGCCGGAGGAGTTTCAGAATACTAAAATTCAAATTCTAGGGGTCTTAGGCATATTTAGTTAGAGAGAAATGTAATTATAATTAAGAAGAAATAAAGTCTAACGAAATGTACTTTGCTTATAGATTATGTTGACAAAATTAAAATGCCTAGTATGGAGGCCAAAAAACAAAAGTCAAAAAAGTAAGAATTTCTGGGGGAAAAGAAAGTAAGAATTTCATGGTCAGCAGATCCCAGGCATTCAGGTTCCCATGGTAGAAATGTCCCTGTAGTGACAATGGATGTTGCAGGACGTCACCATCCTGGCTTGGTGAATAAGCCATTGAGATCATCCAACTTACTTATTCTTCATCAAAGCCATGCTCACCAAGACATGTTATCAATACTACTTTGCTTCTCCTACACTTTTCCTATTTGGAGGTAATGCACTTTCAGTTAACACGAATATTTCACTCAATCCCTTGCAGGCATATTTCTAATGAATTAGGTAAACATGTGCAGTGGACATGCTAATTGAATTGCCTGCCTCTGCCTGAGTAGGCATCAGGCCATGTACGTCTATTTAGCTGGCTGCAGCTGATTGGACTTAGGTAAGCCCAACAGGCAGTGCTATCTAGTGATATCCTGAGATGAGATTCACGACCGGGCAGCCACGATTGGCCATGTGCATGCTGAAGCATAGAGAGCGCACCTGGAGAGCAAGAGAGGGAAAGAGAGAGGTATGCAGAGAGACGCAGGGGTGAGAGTCTCCAGAGGACCACAGATGGAGAACGATCTGTCCTGGCTGTTGAGTGTTTTGCAGGCCTGGGTTCTCATCTTCTCTGAGGCCTGGCTGCATTTCCTCCTCTTGAGTTTTACCCAATCTCCCAGTAGTTTATAATAATGTGTCTTCTTCCGCATTAGCTACTTTCAGTGGGTTCCTCTTATTAATAACTAAGTAATTTCTGACAAATTCTGTGCATGCTCTTAGCTCATGTGCCTCACCTCTAATTGCAACAGATGCTTCTAAAAACAGTGACTGAGTTGCTAACAAACTGCTAAGCTCTACTTAATTCCTTTTTGCTGAAAGACTGGGGGAAAGAAAGGCAGCTTTCATTAGAAAAGGCGTCCATACAAGAAGTATAACCACATAGGCAGTGAATGCCTCCACGGGGGGACTTTACATTTATAACCGTGTGGAAAAACGAGTCAGGCTTACCTACCCACTGCTCCAGTCGCTCCCATCACCAGGGCACTCAATAGTTGCTAAGCAAAAACAGACACAGGGTATTCACTTTTAGGAAAAAGAGTAAGAGAAAAAAAATGTTGCTATCTAAATAGCTTTACAAATTGTTCTGGAGGGCAACGAACCCGCTGGGACAGGCCAGTGGGCGACTTACCTCGTCCACCCCAAAAAGGAAAGCAAACTGTTGCTGGCGATTCTGATCAACACATTGCCCGAAGTCTAAGAGATCGGTGTCACTGAACTTCAGCCCTTGGAAGGTGGGGATCTTATCCTGAATCCCGTCCAACAATTCCTCAGCACGAACTGCTCAAAACAGAAAATGCCTCACGAATCTGCACCCCTCCAGAAAATGTCAAATCCCGTCTTGTAGAGCCCCTCACATCTGCACTGAGTGCCAGGGGCTGTTCTCAGCTGGACGTCCCTTGCCCTCACTTAGGAGTTCCTATGTACTCATCAAATTTCAGCCCCCACGCTTCCATTCCTCGAAGACAACAGATGAACTTTTCCAAAGCACAACTTCTATTTTTTTTTTCTTTTAAGGAAGTAGAAAGGAATCATATCTAAAAAATAATCTCCTAAGAAATCTCATCTAATTGTAACAATCTCCTTTCTGGAGAAGCATAGTAACAATAAAAGAAAAGTCAAAAGAAGGGACACCTGGTTGGCTCAGTCAGTTAAGCGTCTGCCTTGGCTCAGGTCATGATCCCATAAATTTTAAAAATCTTAAAAAAAAAAAAGAAAGAAAGCCAAAAGAAAAGTGAGGAGGGATCAGAGTACCTTCCTATGTACCAGGCACTGAGAATACAGTAGAGGACAAGGTAGACACAGCCTTCGTCCTTACGGGGCTTATAGGCTTGTGTCTTCTCATACAAGACACAAGGTGTCTGCTAGAAAAGCATCTTTCACACTTAAAAACGTTCATTATAAGGTAGTGTCAATGATTGATAAGAGGGACTTATTTTTGATAAGACTGACTTATTTTGGAGCCAATCCGAACCATCCTGTCAATAGTTTTATGCTTTTGTGACACAGGGTGGAGTGCGATGGAGTGGGAGTTTCTTAGCGAAACAGGGTAAGATGTGAGAGATGGAGGGAAAGAAACATGGAAAGAAGCAGTACTTACTCTTTACCCCTGTCAAGGCGGGAATGTGATAATAATAAAATGGCAATGCTGGGGCGGCAGTAGCTACCTCCTTTAGGAAATTAATCAAGATATCTGAAAGAATAGCAGGACAAGCCATGGTGTGAACAAGTATAAAACACTGGCTTTCCCTGGTAAAAAAAACTAACCATCTACTGAAATGCAACCATCCCTCTCAGAAGCTGAAAATTCTTGATCCCTCTCAATCATCCGAGATTGATACTGCAATGTCTTTGCAACACTTCATTCAAAGGTTTATTTTCCTTTCTGTAGAAAGGCCAAAATAAGATGATCACTTTCCTGCTGTCCTTAAATACTATTATAAAACTGGTGCAGGGCGCTTGGGTGGCTCAGTTGGTTAAGCGACTGCCTTCGGCTCAGGTCATGATCCTGGAGTCCCGGGATCGAGTCCCGCATCGGGCTCTCTGCTCGGCAGAAAGCCTGCTTCTCCCTCTCCCACTCCCCCTGCTTCTTGTGTTCTCTCTGTCGAATAAATAAATAAAATCTAAAAAAAAAAAAAAAGAAAGCTTGTCTGTTACAAACTAGGTATTTGGTAAGGGGGAAAAAAAAGATTCACTTCCTGTGATGCTCCCAAAAATGTCAAGTCAATTATTTTAAAGTGGTCACTAGTCAGCAGAGAGAAATCACCTGGATGAATTCAAATCATATCCTCTTTAGTAGAATGCATTTTCCATCCAGACTTGAAGTAATTATTACATATAAGGTTCCACTGTACATAAACACATTTAAAAATCACAAAATATGAGGATAAAAAGTACCATGAGCATCAGCAGAAGAAAAAAAACAACCAGCAAAATTGTACTTGTACATATTTTAAATGTTAGAATTATCTAATACAGACTATGCACATACCTATCCTTCCTTCATGTTTAATTCACCCTACTGCTAAATAAATAAAAAGCCACAAAATTAAAAAAAAATTTTTGCTTAATTTTAACCAGAAAAATCATGATGTATACTACCCAAACCCAAGAAAACAAAAAATTCCAGATAGAAAAATATATTTTTCCACAAAATGTTTATATAATAACAAAAACTTGTAACAATATATATAGCTGTATGTAAGCTGCAATGTAATTAAGCCTTATTGTAAACTTTTCTTCCTTCTGCACCATTTCCTTAACCCATTTTTCAATCTTCTGGGCAACTTATAGTTATTTTACACTCAAAGCACAGAGTAACATCTTTAGTTTAACTTTCCTATGACTTACAAGGCCTTACAGGACCTGGCTCCCTCCGGTCCCTTTAAACTATTTCCCTTCCTATTCTTTCCTTAGTGTCTGAACTCTGGCCCACTGGCTTCTGTTCAGATCGTCACACTCTACAGACTCTGTTGTGGCTTGGAATTGTCAGATCTTTGGCTCCTACCACCAGGAATATACCCTCTGCTTCTCTTTACCTGTCTGGCTCCTTCCCAGGATTCTAATCTCAGATGAAGTCTAAGGGACACAGAGACACTTCCCTCACTGCTTTGTGGGAGTTAGTCTCTCTCCTGCACCACCATTCTCCAGCACTTTCCTCTGGCCAGATTCAGTGATCTTGATGGAAGACCCACAGATACTGCAGTTCTGTACAGACAAGTGAAAGAGCAAAAGGTAGAGAATACTCAGTGGAATGTTCAAATTGGGACCTCAAAGCTGACTGAGGTTATTTCCTTAGGGAAAGGACAAGGATGATACCAACTGGGTCAATGTTCTGGGGAGTCCAGATAGCAACCGCAACCTGCAGACCGCCCAGGCTTGTGAATATTACCTGCAGCTCTTAGTAAGAGATGGTTTAGATGTACCCATTCCCTCGAGTCCTGAGGTGAATCACTTCGTTGAACTGCAGTCCAAGGATTCCCAGGAATGCGATTTGTAGTCCTTGTGCCACCTCCTCCTACCCGAGGCAGGGGACCTTAAATGGGGCCAACTGGACTTGGACTATATATAGATCACTCTGAGCCCCTGATGTGCTTGCCCATCAGTGGAAGCCCACTTCCAGGACTTCAACGATAACTTTGTTATGTGTGCTTGTTGATGGGCAAGAGGCCTGTCCCTTACACCAAAGGTTGATATTTGAAAAAATTTTCTGTGCCCACAGGACCTCATCCAACATCTGGCTCAAATCTGGGAACCTGGCATTGAGGAAGGTCATTCTAGCTGCTGTGTAGAAAATATACTGGAGGTGAACTTGATGTCCAAGCTCCTAGGTGGTCCATGTGGCATAGAACTCGAACACTCCCTATATCTGGTATACAGATACAGGTGACAAGTCCTGCTGGACACAGGTTCTATACACATTTGGTGGAATCCATTCCATTATGTTTACTAATTGCATGATTAAGATCTAGGAAATTTCTGTAAGGTTTTTCTTTTGGTTGTCTAACTTAAAATGCTGATGTGTCCTATGTAACAAATGATCTCTCAAGAGTCACCAAAGGGGTTGGCAGAGAAAACATGATTTGGGTTAGTTATTTTGTCCACCAAGTAGCCATTTCTCAGCCCCAGAAACCCAAAGTGCAAGGTGAGGCCCCCCCTCTAGCAAGGGCTTAGCTCTGCTGTTTGTGTAACTTTGATTCCAAGATTCCTTCTCCATGTAACTGAAGGAAATTGGGGTTGAGTGAGCATGTGATAAGGACAGTGGTTAAATGGGTTAGATCCATTCTTTGCTCTTCTTGCTTTGACAGGCATTTAAGTCCCACTCCATTCTTCCTTATGTGAAAAGCCCGGGTGAGTCTAGGTGGGTGCCTGGTCTTGGACTGCAGTCATTTTAGAATGTCCCTTAGCCCAGCCCAGCCCAACCCAGCCTTCCCTCAGGCTCCAGATTCCTGACAGAAGGGATTTTATGTGCTCTTCATGTGATCATCAAGAGGAAATTTCTCTCAAGTTGTAGCAAACAGCCTTTCTGGAGAAGAGCATGCATTACCCATTCCCCACCTCCACCGGTGCCCCACACACCATGGCATTTTCCTACATCTGTGAATAAACCCAAGAGATCCTAAGTAAAACCAGTCCCTGGAATCACTTTGTCCTTCCACCATCCCCAGTGAATTAATCTCAGAATTCCATCTTGAAACAGAGGTTAAAAATCTGCTTTTAGTATCGTGCTGAGTGAAGTATTTCACATCATTATTTTAGTTTTAATATTAAAGACTAAACTCAAAGGTAATAGTAAATTCATAATACTCCAAAAATTTACTTTTGATAAAAGGCATTATTAGTAACTATTGCTATGTAACATTCATTTCCAAGGAGTTGGATGTTAGAACACACAGAGTTAAATTCAACCCTTGTCACTGAAGAAAAATCATCTTATTTCTCTTTGTGTTTACAAGCTCTTCTTAACCATCTTCAAAGTTCTCCAAGCACTGACTTCAGAAAAACAAAAACAGAAAAAAAAAAAAAATCCTGGCTAGTGGATAGCCAAGATGTATCTTCATAGAAAAAATTAATTTGACTTTAGTATACTTAAGTAAGGATATGACCTCTTCAGAACCAAAAACCTCCCTTTTCTTCCTTTAGGAAATTAACGGCTATAAAGAAATGTTTCAGTGAGAGAATATAAATTCACATAAACCACTGCAGTTCAATTTCTTATCCCAACGCCTTACTCCTGAAGGAGGTAGAAATATGAGAAAACAGCACATGTCATTCCTGAGCAAAAAGAGGAGTGAGGAGCCATAAATATAACAACTCTTAACTGATCAATTGACAACGGTAACTGAATCCACAGATAATTTCAAATTCTCATTTTGAAAAAGTTCTCCTTTTCAGAGATAAAATATAGAGTAAAAAAAAAAAAAAAAAGAGTAAAAATCCTCAGTAATTGGGCACCTGGGTGGCTCAGTTGGTTAAGCGACTGCCTTCGGCTCAGGTCATGATCCTGGAGTCCCAGGATCGAGTCCCATATCGGGCTCCCTGATCTGTGGGGAGTCTGTTTCTCCCTCTGACCCTCCCCCTTCTCATGCTCTCTCTCTCTCATTCTCTCTCTCAAATAAAATAAAATCTTAAAAAAAAAAATCCTCAGTAATTGATAGACTGGATAGTCAGGTTTACAATCACCAAGGGTTGACTGGCAATACACTTTGTTATTAGGAAGGACTAACCAGGGTTTTTTGGAAAGGAGATTAAAACAGCCATACTACTGAGAAAGAAAAGAATAAAGAAGGTATGTAGGGATAGAGAGAGTGAAATCTTTTGGTCCTTCCCCCAATCTTCAAAATGTGCTGAAGTGTGACCAGGAAATAACAGTTAGCCCCTGGGCTCACAATAGAGGGGACATTGGCCTTCACTGTGGGGGAGCCATTCACTTCCTGTGGGGAAAGGGGAAGTGTGTGGTGCCCAGAGGAGAGCTCTTTGGTTGAGACTTTGAGCTTTGAGAAGTTCTCTATATATCAAGAAGTGGAGACTTGAGTTCATCTTTGGGGAGGGCCTTTTCTTTGTTCTATGAAAAGCTACTCTAATAGGCCCTTGAGTGATAAGAACTGAAGCAAGTCTTCACCTAATGCAGTGTTTTGGGGGAAAACTGACATCACAGTGAATCCGAAAGCAGATATTCTAGAATTAGACTGAGCAGCCAAGTGAGCGGGTGTGTTAATAGTTGTGTAGAGTTGAGTTATGTTGTAATTTGGCATTGAAGTGTATTTGCCTAAATGAAGTAGCTCAGAGTTGTCCTAGACTCCAAATGAATATTTATTAAAATGGAAGTACATTATAGTGGTTTAAAATTAAAAAAAAATTAAAATAGGATTAAGAATCAGAAATCAAGATAATGGGAGCTCCTAAAGGCAGATGGAATGAATCATTATAATTTTTTTCTTGATTCCATTTCATCCATATAAGCAGAAATTTCTCCACAAAAATTTTGTGAAATATTGAATAACTCAGGGCTCATGATTCCTTTTAGAGTTTTTGCCCCTTCACAAAATAAAACATTTTTAGGATCTTAGAAGGTACTTAAGTACTCGTTGATTGGGTGAGATTTCATTTGCTAGAAAAGAGTTTAGTTCAAGTTCATCTAAAAAGTCCTTGAGAAATGAAGGTACCATTCAAGGTACACACTCTAATTTGATA